GTGACGCCAAGGATAACGTGTTCAAGAAACCCAGACAGCATCAGCCTGAAAGGACACAGAGACTCGACTCTGTTCAAGTGAGGAGATCAACAACCTTGAGAGATTTAGCATAACTTTTTTTTTTTTTTTGAGACAGAGTCTCACTTTGTTGCCCAGGCTAGAGTGAGTGCCGTGGCGTCAGCCTAGCTCACAGCAACCTCAGACTCCTGGGCTCAAGCAATCCTCCTGCCTCAGCCTCCCGAGTAGCTGGGACTACAGGCATGCGCCACCATGCCCGGCTAATTTTTTCTATATATATAAGTTGGCCAATTAATTTCTTTCTATTTTTTTTTAGTAGGGATGGGGTCTTGCTCTTGCTCAGGCTGGTTTCAAACTCCTGACCGGAGCAATCCTCCTGCCTTGGCCTCCCAGAGTGTCAGGATTACAGGCGTGAGCCACCGCGCCCGGCCCTAGCATAACTTTTTGCACAAAGGAAGAGGGAAATTCCAGAGCTTGCTTCTGCCTTCGGAAGGAATTCACATAAGTGCCTTTCAGAAGAGAACGCTGTCACACAAGGGAGCATTTTCAGGGCGAGACGTTACCAACGCCAGCCCCTCGCCGCGTGCTGGATCTGGGGGAGATGGGTTCCACCCTGGGAGGTCCCGGTGTGTGGACAGCCCCTTTGCACAAAGAGCACGTCCAACAGTGGGAGTTCTGTGACATTGGAAAACAGAAGGAGACAGGTTTCTCCCCATCCTCCCTCCAAGGGCGCGTGTTCTCAATCCTCCGCCCGCCAAGGGAACAGGGGCCTCCTGCAGCCCCCCAGCCCTGTCACCAGGAAGGGCCTTCCAGCTAACCTTCTAGAAAGTTGGGCCTGCGGAGCTCAAGCAGGCCAAAGGTGTGTGTAGGGGTGGGGTGGGGGGGTGGAGCAGAACTTCGCTGAACAGCAGGTGTGGTGCCTGTGAGGTTCCTTCCATGTTGGGATGGAAACGCGGACGTGGCCACACCAGCCCAGGATAAGAGCACTGAGGACATTTCCATTCTGTGCATTTCTTTTTTCTTTCTTTTTTTATTTTTTTGAGACAGAGTCTTGCTCTGTTGTCCGGGCTAGAGTGCCGTGGCGTCAGCCTAGCTCACAGCAACCTCAAACTTCTGGGCTCAAGCAATCCTTTTGCCTCAGCCTCCCGAGTAGCTGGGACTACAGGCATGCGCCACCATGCCCGGCTAATTTTTATATATATATATTTTTTTAGTTGGCCAATTAATTTATTTCTATTTTTTTTAGTAGAGACGGGGGTCTCACTCTTGCTCAGGCTGGTTTCGAACTCCTGACCTTGAGCGATCCTCCCACCTCGGCCTCCCAGAGTGCTAGGATTACAGGCGTGAGCCACCGGGCCCGGCCTATGCATTTCAACACTTGCACAAAAGTGAAATTTTCCTGGGAAGCACGAGTAGGCTTAAGTCACTGAAGCGTCCTGAGATGAGGTGGGCAGAGCTGTCGATGCCCCGTGGACCCCGTGCTGACCGACGGTGGGGCCCGGCCTGGCCTTGGCTTCCTGACGAGCCTGGGCCGCTGCTGGCTCCATGGGGGTCTCCACTCGGGAGCAGAACCCAGTGGCCTCCCCCACGTGGCTGATCCCTGGAAGCAGCTTGGGCAGTGTCTACCCTGTTCACAACTCTTTTTGCTCAATCTGTTGCATTTTAGGCAAAAGCTGCCATCTTGCCAAGCCACGTCCTAACGGACACTGGGAGAATGGCAGGTGCGGGGCCGCTAGGAGGGCTGGGGGCCCCGCAGGTCCCTCCACCTCTGGGATCGCTCCACAGAGTCTTAGGGCAACAGAAGCCCCTGGGTGGGACCCGGCTCTACTTTCTAGCCTCATGGGCCCTCTGAGCCTCAGTTTCCCTCACTGCTGCACCAGGTGGCATTGGCCTGCTGGCACAGCCTGTGGGCAAACAGCCCTTTGGGCCCAACTGCTGCCAGCTCTGAGCGTGTTCGCATGAGGGAGCTGGGGGTGGGGTGTCCCGACAAGCTGGAGGCCCAGGGCCCTTTCCTGAAGGGAGAGTGTGAGCACTGCGCTCCAGCCCCGCGGGGCCGATGGAGCCACTAGTGACCCTGAGGAGCTGCCTGAACCCCAGTGTCCAGAGCTGGTGGGCCAGGCTTCCTCAAGGGGACCCTGGCAGCCAGGGTATCCCTGTCCCTGCTCTGCAGCTGAGAAAACAGAGGCCCAGGTGCTGGGGCAGCAGCTTCCAGCCTGGTGCCACCCTGCCCTGGAGGCATGCTTCTGCTCGGGACAGGACACACGTCAGAGCCGGGTGAGCTGCTGCCTCTGCCTCACCAGCGCAGCAGAATGATGGCCACCCGCTGTGCACCAGCAAAACCAAAGGCTGGTTGGGAAGGCTGGCGGCTGAAGGCTCCGGCCCAGCACAACCCCAGCAGCGTCACTGAGCTCCAGGGCTGCTTGTCACTGTCGTTGTAACAGGCAGCTGGCCTGGCCACGGCAGGATCCAGGCACTGGGCAACTCGGACAGTGTCCTCCCTCCTCTCCCCGATGGCCCGAGAGGGATGGGGATTCTCTTGCGGCCACCGTGCCCTGGGTCCAGGCACTGTGCCCCTCAGCTCCACCCTGGCATCCAACCATGCCTGCTGTGCATGCCCGCTGGGGCAGGGGGGGAAGGGCAGAGGCCACGAAGATGCCCAGGTCACAGCACCATCTGGTTTGGTGGCTGGGCTGAGGCACCGGGCCCACGTCTGGCAAGAGTCGAAGGAGACCCAGGACAGCACTTGAGAAAGACCAGCCCAGAGAGGGGCTCTTGGGTTTCCTGTCTGGTGCTCGGAGCCCGAGATCTGGTGCAAATGAAGGGCACCCACTGGAGGCCACTGTCTTCCTCCCACGTGGGACCCCAGGGCCCAGTCAGTGGGAAAGGCACCGATGTGGGGCCCACCCCACCTCTGCCAGGGGCTCTGTCCCTCCCTGGTCCTGCGGCGGCATGACCAGAGGTTGGCAGGGGGCTCTCAGGGGGCCACACATTTCTGGGAGGGAAAGAAATTGCTGCAGCTGGAGAAACGGAGATGCGAGGGGGCAGAGGGGCTGAGCAGGGCAGCTCCACTGGGGTGGAGGGGTTGGCGGCCGTGGGCACCCCAGGAAGATGGACTCCCTCTGGTTCTTGTCACACAACCTAAGCTTCAGGCTCGTCCCCCACGTCCCACGGCCCCACAGGCTCAGCTGCCAGCAGGCCCCGGCCGGGTGGACCACCTCATTCCGAAGCCCCCACTGTTGCGTTGGAGCAGACTGGCCCGGCCTTCCCCTGCAGGGCAGGGTGTTTCCAACCCAGCCTGGAGCCCGGGCAGATGACAAGCAGGAGGTCCTGCCTAGAGGGCTGGCAGCGTCCCCACTATAGGGAGGGACGAGCCCCAGCGAGGCTAGCCACGAGCCCCCGTGGCCCAGTGTGGTGAGAAGGCCGGGAGTGACCTGGGGAGATCGCTCCTGCCCGCAGGAGTGGGGACAGGAGAAGGGGGCGGCTTTCCCTGTGGGGAGGGCGGGATTCCGTGGGCAGCCAAGCCGGGGTGCGGAAGAGACAAAGACCACAAAAGCTTCTAGGGACACCCCTCCAGAGTCGGTCTCATGCCTCCAAGCAGGACAGGAGGCCAAGAACGTCTGATATTTATTTTTCTGGCACCTGCTAATGGCAAGTGATACCGAGTTTTTATTCGTGGCCAAGACATGAAGTCTGCTCTTTAAATAAACATTCCTCAAGTGAAGACGGTGAAGACGCGAAGCAATTTGAAGAAAACGCTAAGTGTCAGCGTGCTGGCACATGTGTGGGTCTGACCACGGAAGGCTGCGCTTCAGGCGGGTAGAGTGGGCGTGTGAAGGGCCACCCGGGCGGTCGGTCCCTCCCCCTTCCAGAGCCATCGCCAGCTGGACCTGCCAACAGCAAGTCCCCACAGCTCAACAGGAGACCCCGGGAATCAATGTTTTCCTCTGACAATCTGTTTGCTCCACTACGGACCAAAGTCCCCACCTTCCCTTTGGCCCCTGGTCCCTCGCCACTGGCTCTCACGGAGGCTCACTCGTGTCCACAGTCCACAGCTGGAGGCCCAGCAGGAGGGCGGCAGGACAGGCATGTGTAGGGCCTGCAGCCAGACACCACTGGGACTTGCATGGGCCATCCTGCCATCCTCAGACACCCCGTGTCCCAACGTTTGCACAGGGGGTGCCTAACTAGCTCCCAGGACGACGAAATCCGGTGTTGAGCCTGCCTCAGGTGAGGCTGGATCCAGACACCTGAAGCAAGGAGGCAGGCCAAGCTTCTTGCCTTCCCCAGGACTGGCTCATCTCATGAGATGTCTTTAGGGCTGCCAGCGGGACAATCGCCTCCTTCCCGTGAGCTTCAGCAAAGGTCTGGAGCTGCCAACCTCTGGGTTCACCCCGCCCAGGGATGAAAAAAGAGCTGCCCCGAGGGATGCAGAGGCGCTGTCGGCAGAGGCTGGATCAGCCATGGGACAGGCGGGGGCCGCCCTGGCTTGCCACTTTGGATTTCAGCTGCAGCTCATGTGCTGGTCCTGCTCCACCTCGCTGCCCCCTGCCCAGGTTGGTTCTCTGTGCACCCCCGTCCAGCAGTGCCCTAGCGTCCTGGACCCCTTCCCTCTGGTTCCCAATGGGACTACCCAGGAAGCTGGCTCCAGCCGGAAGTGGGGCGGCTGTTCCAGCCCCCGCCTCCCAGGGGCCTGTGTTCTCTGCACACAGGAGGGGCGTCTACACTGACAGTGGGCAGTGCCTCAAAAGTGGCCATCTGGGCAGGGCCTTGGGAAGATGTTTCCTGAGGCCTTGGGGAGGGACGTGTCACAGAGCTCCTGAAGCAGCCAGAGCACAGACGCTGTCCCTGTGCTCAGGGGCGGCAGTGGGAGCAGTGGGGGTCCAGCCCCTCAGCAGAGCCACGTCCAGGACTAGGTCTCCACAGGACCATCCCAGGGACCCCTGGACCCCGCTGGCTGCTGGAAGGGGCAGCTGCAAAGGTGGCCTTGGTGGCAGTGGGGCCACTCTGGGATGGGGAGGGTCTCCTCGAGGTCTCTGGGGACAGCACACTTGACTTCCTCTGCTGCGCTGGCCCAGAAACTTCGGGGGAAAGTGGGGTTTCCTATCCCCCCAGTCCTGCTGCAGCTTGAAGGTCCTTGCATAAGGACACCAGGGGAACAGCCTTCCCTTCACCTGGATCCTCTTTGCCCAAAAGGGGCGCAGACGTGACCAAGGAGGGGACAGCAGAGCCCTCAGCCCTGTGGCTGCCCCCAACCCAAAGGGTGCTGACGAGGAAAATCTCAGCCCTGTGAGCCCCCAGCCCCAGAACTTCCTCAGGGGACAAAGACAGACCCAGGGAGGCCTCTGGCTGGGTCTAACTGGTCTGCCATCCACAGCGCGTGCAGAGCCCAGAACAGCCTGTCCTGTCTACATCTGGCTCTTGTGCTTGGAGTGGGCTGCCAGACTGGCCACCCAGCTGTCCCCAGGCTGAGGTGCCATGGTAGTGAGGGTCTCCCCAACCCCATAAACTGTCACCCAGGCCCCTGCTCCACCCCTGCCTGTACACCCCTGCTGATGGGCAGAGGGACTGCAGGGACCCCAAGCTTTGTTCTAGCCAAGGAAATGGGGGGCCCCATGGCACCACCACTTTCTGCTTCCCTGGGGGAGCTCCTAAGTCCCCTCATGATGGTGGGGCAAGAGTCAGAGCTGAGGGTCTGCTCTGCCCAAGGGGAAGGTGGAAGCTGGGGGTGGCGTGGGGACCCACCCAAGGTCTCTACCCCCATCCCTTCCCCATTGGGCACTGGCAGACCCTGCCCAGGGTCCCAGCAAGCTGGAGGGGCCTAGTGTTGGTACCAGGGTCTCCAAGGCAGGTGAAGAGGTACCCTGTGGCTAGGAGGGGGTGTGGCTGCTGACCCTCAGCCTCAGGTAGAGCCCTTGAGGCTGGGAGAGTGCCCAGTGGAGGTGTGGGGACCAGGGATTCCCAGTCTGTCCTCTTTCTCCCAGGTGAGATGAGCCCCTGGAACTCAGGGTCCACAGGACAGTTGCCAGAGACCCCTTCTCACTGCCCTCTGCCACAGGTGTGCCCCTGCCTCGTTGCCCCCAGGCAAGGCAGGCCTGGCAGGTGCCTCTGGCCTGGAAGGGCGTCCAGAGTGCCAGAGATGTGTGCAGGGGTGGGGTTGAGGGGTGGGGTTGAGGGTGGTTGAGTGTGAGGGGTGGGTTGGGGGTTAGGTGGTTGAGGGGTGGGGTTGAGGGTGGGGTTGAGGGTGGAGGGTGGGTTGAGGGGTGGGTTGAGGGGTGGGTTGAGGGTGGGGTTGAGGGTGGGTTGAGGGGTGTTTGAGGGTGGGGTTGAGGGGTGGGGTTGAGGGGTGGGGTTGAGGGGTTGAGTCTTGGAGTGCGCACCTACCTCTTCCCCTCCCAGGGCCCCGCGTGGGCTTTCGGGGAGCTGTTCCCTTTGCCCAGCCTTACCCGAGGGCAGGAGGAGGCGGCAGAGGGCTGGCCGCCCCGCAGCGGCTCCTTCTGGGTGCGAGCGGACAAACTTTCCACCACCCGCTGCCTGGTCTCCGAAGCTTTCCGCCCCGGAGGGCGCTTCTCTCCCTGGAGACCAGAAGCCACAGGGCGAGTTTCCATCCGTCCGGGCAGGCACCCTCGCTTCGCCGGCCCTCACCACCGGCCCGGGACCCGCAGCACAGGGAGCGTGACCCCGGGCCCTGCGCGCTGCGGACCGCCGCCCCGCCCCCGCAGGCTCGCATCCCCAGCGCGGCCAAGGGCGGTGGCGGAGCTGCACGACTCGGGACCGCGGCCCGCCACGGCCGCGAGAAAGCCTCGAAAGAGCCCGCGGGGCGAGAAGCGGCGGGGAGCGGCGCGGCCCCGCCCGCACCCCCAGCCGGCCCCTCGGCGCGAGATCCGCCCGCAGGCCGCGGCCCGGCGAGGGTTAAGCGGGGCGGGGCGTGGGGCGGCCCCGCCTCCGCCGCCGCGCCGGTCCGAGCGCACTGGGCGCGGGGGCGGTCGGAGCGGGCGGCGGCGGCGGCGGAGGCGCGGCTGCGGCGGACGCGGGAGCGCGGCGGCGCGGCCGCGTGACCCACCGCCGCGCCCCGTGCGCCGGAGCCCGGCGCCGCCGCGCCGGCCCAGCGGCAGGATGCGCGCCCGCCCGCTGCTGCTGTGCTGCGCCTGCGCGCGCCGCCGCCCTGCGCCGCGGCCGCCCCGACGCCGCCGGGCTGGGAGCCGGCCCCCGACGCGCCCTGGTGCCCCTACAAGGTGCTGCCCGAGGGCCCCGAGGCGGGCGGCGAGCGCCTGTGCTTCCGCAGCCCCGCGCGCGGCTTCCGCTGCCAGGCGCCCGGCTGCATAACGCACGCCTCGGCCGGCCGCTCTCTGCGCGCCGGCGTCCTGCGCAACCAGAGCGTGCTGCTGCAGTGGCGCCTGGCGCCGGCCGAGGCGCGCCGCGTGCGCGCCTTCGCGCTCAACTGCTCGTGGCGCGGCACCTACACGCGCTTCCCGTGCGACCGCGTGCTGCTCGGGGCTTCCTGCCGCGACTACCTGCTGCCCGACGTGCACGACGGCGTGCGCTACCGCCTGTGCCTGCAGCCGCTGCCGCTGCGCACCGAGCCCACCGCCGCGTCGGAGCCCGCCCAGCCCGGGGAGTGCGTGGAGTTCGTCGCCGAGCCGCCCCGCATGCGGGAGATTGTGGTGGCCATGACGGCGGTGGGCGGCTCCATCTGCGTCATGCTCGTGGTCATCTGCCTGCTGGTGGCCTACATCACCGAGAACCTCGTGCGCCCGGTCGGGCGCCCCGGGTTGCGCAGGCATCATCGCTGAAGCGCCCAAGGGGCGCAGCGTGCCCCAGGGCCCTCCGTCCGCCCTCCTCTCATTCCTAGTCCCTTGAGATCCTCACGGAGAGCCTGCCTGCCGGAGACGATTAGGATGAGACGCCTGCCTGAGCCCGGACCTTGGCATTGTCACACGCCCTTACCAGCTGGACGTCCTCCTCTCAGACTCTGACTCCAGACTGGCCTGTGGGCCGGGGCTGCAGTGCCAGCCGCATCCAGGGCTCTCCCCGCTCTCCAGAGGCCTTTATAGGGATGGCCAGGACATATGGCCCCTTCCAGCAAGAGCCGTTGGCACGCTGGATCGTCACCCTGCACCTGCATCCTGTGCCAAGTTGTCAAAGACAGGCTGTCGTCATTGCTTGGTCACTGTGTGCTTTGGGGTGGGGGGTGACCCTAGAAGCCTGTCTTCCCCCCACCCCCTCTCCCCGCACCACCCCAGCGGGCTTAGGTTAGCTTCGTGCCTTAGTTATCTCTGGCCCACCGCAAGAGCCAACCACCCGGGCCCCTGCTATCCAAGGGGGTCTGTGCCCCTGAGACTGGCCAACACGTCTGTGTGTCTGGTCAGCGTCCCCAGCACTGCCGGGGCGTGTGCCCGGGGTAAGCAGCATCCCGGCCTTTCCTGGTGGGGATCTGGACAGGCGGGAGCCACGCTGTGGCTCAGCAGGCCCGGCCCCACTTCCAGCCGCTGCATCCGGGGGTGAGTGTCCTGCGACTCGGAGAGGCCGGTGGTTTTCCATGGCCAGACCCTTCTTTCCTTTTGTGTGTGTCGCCTCTGACTAGGACTTTCCATGGGGATGGGGAGCAGGTGGTGGGTGGACAGCTTCACGTCCTGAGGGCAAAAGGGTGGACGCCGGCAGTGGACCTTCCTCGGAGGCCTGGATCCCACGCCCCAACCGAGACCTCGATGGCCGTAGGATGACCGACAGCACCCCCCCCCAGCCTTTTCACGCTCAAGTGTCGGGAGCCCAGGATCCGGCTCCGGGAAGCTGCCCTCCCACCGTGGACACAAGGCTGGCTGTGCCCACCTCCAGCAGACCTGGGCCCCTGGCTGAAGCCACGCTCTGTGATTACCTCCTGGTGATGTTGGGCACCGACTGGGATTGACCCTGGCACCTCCTGGTCACTGTGGATACACCCCACCCCACCCCGGGACCACCAGCGACCCCAGGACCTGGCTGGGCCCCCTGCAGCGCCCAAACCCGACCTGAGTCTTCACTCCTCCTTCCCCTCCCTGCGTGGCGCTGGCCGGGTGCGATCCTGGCGCCAGTGTCTAAATGTCCATCATTCTCAGACCAAAGATGCCGTCTTGTGTGTTTATTGGGAAGGTGGAGGGGTGGGGGTGGGGGCAGGGACAGGTGGACCCCTTCTACCCAGTTCCTGCTGGCTTCTTGAGCTCGGCCCAGGGGCTGGCCCTGAGCCCCATCCCGGCCTGGCCGGGGTTGGCCCAGGCAGGTGCACGGCACGCTGCCCTTGGCGATTCCAGCTGGAGGGCGGGCAGGGAGCCCACGGCTCATCCATCCACCCTCAGACCTTGGGAAGTCATCTTTTCCCGGGCCAGCCATGCGGGCGGGGGAGGGGGAGGCGGCACCTGCTGCAGTTAGAAATAGCCCAGTCTCATGGGTGACCCACTTGAGCTGTGACAAGCAGCAATTAGGTGGCTCTGGGAGGGGGCTCCCCTCCCCAGCCTGGGGCCTCCCTGTGCAGTGCTGGGGCTGGGGGCTGTGGGCAGTGGACAAAGGACAGCTAGGGGCTCCTGGTGTGCCCTGTGCAGGCTGCTGCCCTCCCACCCACCCAGGCTGTCCTTGGGGCACCTGCAGCCGGCTGTGACCCTGAGGAAGCAAAAACAGCGGGGGAGGCAGGAGGGGAGCCAGGCTCTGAGGAGTGACTCATCTGGGGGAGGGGGGTGCAGTGATGTGTCTAGACAGCGGGCAGGAGTGGGAGGCGTTCGGGTCCAGCCACCTCCTATACTGGCTCCCCGGGGGCCCAGCTGGCTTGTGAAGGGTGTTCGGTGCCCTCCACCAGCAGGGGCAGAAGTGGGAGCCTGGCAGGGCCCCAGTGTCCTTGCATAGTCTGGCTCCAGAGCCCAGGTCGAGTGGCACCTGCTGGGGTAGCCGTGGGGTTCCCTGAGGACTCCCCAGTCTGCGCCCCCACTCAGGCCTCTGTCGTGGGCTTGGGCTCACACTGGCCGAAGTCGAGGCCTGTTAGCCAATTCTGAGGGTCTTCTCAGAGGCCTGGAGTCCAGCTTGGGGTTTGCAGAGAGGGTCCCAGGGACAATCCCTGGCCGGGGCATTGACCAGGAGCTGGCACGCAGGCCGAGGTGTCTGCTTCCAAGCTCATGTCATCCCCACAGACTGGGCTGGCCCCTCTGTCCTCCCAGGGGTACAGGGACACCCGGGCCCCTGCCCCCACCCCAGTTGGTCCACCTGAGAGCTTGGTAGGGAACCTCCAGTTCTCATCCAGAACGTTCCCTCCTGGAACAGCCTCCCTGCCCCTCTGTCCTTCCCTCTCCTGTCTCTCTCCTGTTCCCTTTCCTCTCTCTCTCTTCCTCTCGGGAATGCTGGCTCTCTGCCTGTGTGGCCCAGGCTGGGGCGGGTAGAGTCCTGCTCTCCAGGTGGCTTCCCTCTGCCCTAGAGGGGAAGCCCAGAGGGCTCATTGGCAGCTGAAGATACTTAAAGCACACACTTTTCCAGCTTGGAGCAGTGATCTGCTTTGATCCCAAGACACTGTAGGCTGCCCAGACTGGCATCCGGGCTCTGCCTGCTAAGAGCTGTACAGGTGCTCAGTGCCTCAGTTTCTGCATCTGTAAGGTGGAAACAGGAATGGGAACCCACACCCAGCCCAGCCAAGTAGAGGCAGATGAACCACCATCCACGTTGCAGCTAGAATTTCCTGTTTGAGCTGCGCCCTGGCCTGCCCCGCCGCAAAACCCTGCCCTTCCTTTCCTTTCCCTTCCCTTTCCTTTTTTTTTTTTTAAAAAGTCCTTGACATTCCACCCTTAAGTGACAATTGGGACAATCGTGAGAGTGGAAGAGTCGGAGCAGGGTGGAGAGCCAGGAGGGGCTTGGAGGCTGGAAGGCCAGTCCACTCAGCTCGTCACCAGTGTCATCGAAAAGACAGGTGGCAATGGGGCCTTCAGTCACGGAAAAGGGGTCGCAGTTGGCAGAGGAATGACGGTCTTCAAAGTGACCCTTCTTCTCTTGGCTGACAGTCCAGGGGACGTGGGTGCTGGTGCTTCTGCTGGCTACACCGGCAGAAAAGTTGGGGTTGGAGGTTTCATGGAATCTGGTGAGGCGCCAGGCACTCCCTGGACCTCCCTTGGGGCCGTAGGTGCAAACGTGGTACTGGTGGGCTTGTTCAGTCTGCCCACGGCCTCCTCAGTGTGGTGCAGACCACGCTCCTCCCGCAAGGCCGTGGTGCTGGCATTGGCATGGCGGCTCTCGGGAACGGGCTCAGGATCCGAGGTTGCTGTCACCGCGGAGTCTTCACTCACAGGACGCAAGATGAAATGAGCACCCGGAGTTGCTCTCCCATTTGGACTCCTTCACAGCATCCCCTGGGTAGGCATGACCTCAGCATTAGTCCCGGGACTGACAGGACAAACAGGGCCGGTGATGAGCCGCCAGGATACCCCTGCCATAGGTTTTGTCTGCTCCCACGACACGGTAATGTGGACCCCAGGGCACAGGGATGCTGTTGGAAGGCCGACTGAAGGGTGCCCATCTGTGCCCAGGACAGTGCGTCCCTGCTACCTTCCAAACCTGGGCACCAGTCACTCACCATGTCTACCACCTGTCTACAGGTGTGCCTCGAATTGGTCTCTGCGATCTTTTTTTTTTTTTGAGACAGAGTCTCACTTTGTTGCCAGGGCTAGAGTGCCATGGCATCAGCGTAGCTCACAGCAACCTCAAACTCCTGGGCTCATGCCTCCTAAGTAGGTGGGACTATTGGTGTGTGCCACTGTGCCTGGCTAATTTTTTTTATTTTTGTAGAGGTGAGGTCTTGCTATGTTGTTCAGGCTGGCCTCAACCTCCTGGGCTCAAGTGATCCTCTTGCCTTGGCCTCCCAAAGTGCTAGGATTACAGGTGGGAACCACTGTGTCTGGTTTTCAAGAGGTTTTTATTTATTTATTTTTTTGAAGACAGAGTCTCAATTTGTTGCCAGGGCTAGAGTGCCATGGCATCAGCGTAGCTCACAGCAACCTCAAACTCTTGGGCTCAAGCAATCCTCCTGCCTCAGCCTCCCAAGTAGGTGGGACTACAGGCATGTGCCACCATGCCCGGCTAAGTTTTTCTATATATTTCTAGATGGCCAATTAAATTTTCTTTTCTTTTCTTTTTTTTTTTTTAGTAGAAATGGGTTCTCGTTCTTGCTCGGGCTGGTTTTGAACTTCTGACCTGGAGTGATCCTCCTGCCTCAGCCTCCCAGAGTGCTAGGATTACAGGCGTGAGCCACCTGTGCAGTGGCCTCAAGAAGTTATTACATTTGAGATTACTGTGTGGCCAAATCGCTATTTTAAGAGATGGGGTCTTGCTATGTTGTCCAGTGGCCTACAACTCCTGGGTGCAAGTAATCCTTCCCACTCAGCCTTCTTAAGATGTGGGACTACAGGTGGTGTTGCTGCTCTGTGCATTGTTTTCAAGTTCTTGCTATCTAGCTGTTGACTGGACTAGATCCAGAATTCTGCTAATTTCCTCTAATATTTGGCTACAAGTCTCCAACTAAGACCAAAACCTGCTCTGTTCCTGAAGCCCTAGAAGTTTAAACTAGATGGATTTTATTGGACAAGTGTCATGCCTGATGCGCAGGTCAGACAAAAAGTTCACTAAACTGTCTGATGCTGTAACCAGAGACATTCAAACTGTGAAGCAGGTGAGAAGTCACTATTTTCACAGTATAGACATCTTTTCCCACGAGGTGAGAACAAGACTCCATATCAGGGGTCCTTAAACTTTTTAAACAGGGGGCCAGTTCACTGTCCCTCAGACCATTGGAGAGTGTAGCGCACATTCCACACATGCGCACTGTGGGCCCGGGACCAGTCGGCTGCTAAGCAGGACAGGCAGCGGCCGCAAAAACAGTGGGCGGAGGCCGGGCGCTGTGGCTCACGCCTGTAATCCTAGCACTTTGGGAGGCCGAGGCGGGCGGATTGCTCAAGGTCAGGAGTTCGAAACCAGCCTGGACGAGACCCTGTCTCTACCAAAAATAGAAAGAAATTAATTGACCAACTAAAATATATATACAAAAAATTAGCCGGGCATGGTGGCGCATGCCTGTAGTCCCAGCTACTCGGGAGGCTGAGGCAGTAGGATTGCTGAGCCCCGGAGATTGAGGTTGCTGTGAGCCAGGCTGACGCCACGGCACTCACTCTAGCCTGGGCAACAAAGTGAGACTCTGTCTCAAAAAAAAAAAAAAAAAAAAAAACAGTGGGCGGGCCACATAAATGTCCTCATCGGGCCGCATGTGGGCCACAGGTCGTAGTTTGAGGACCCCTGCCCCATATCATAATGAAACTTTTACCCCCTTTAATGCCAATGTTTTCACTTGGCAGGATAACAGTGTCATTGGAATTTCATAATCAGTAGCTTCTGCTGGTAACTCGATTGATCCTGATTGAGAAGGTCCTTTAGTATTTGTTGGTTATATAAGGAAATGTCTATACTGCTATTACCACATGCTATACCTGGATAAATTCATCTGGGAAAGTTGAGATCCATATACACAAAATAAAACAAGCCACATGGTTGCAACAAGTCTCACCTAATTGCCTACAGCTATCTGATTGATTGATTCAATTGGTTGCCTTTAAGCCTAGGCTCATGGCTCAAAACCATTATGCAATCTGGGATTGTCATATTACTATTAATTTTACTTTATATTTATCATTTTATTTTTTATTATTTTTTTAAGAGACTGGTTCTTGCTCTGTAGTTCAGGCTGAAGTGCAGTGGCGTGATCATATAGCTCATTGCAACCCTCAAACTCCCAGGCTCAGGTGATCCTGAGCCTCGGCCTCCTGAGTAGCTGGGACTACAGGTGAGGGTCACAATTGTAACCGGCCCCCGACTTAACAATTTCAATGCCTTTCCTCAACTAACTACTTGACCTTTGAGTTGTTTCCCAGAAAAGTGGATTCTGTGCAAGACCAAGACCTGAGATACTGAAGGGCAGACTTCTGATGCCAAGATTCGCCATTACCCACAACCTGCCCCCAATGCATATAGCTCCTTGTGAGACACACCAGGACCCACCCCAAGGCACGTACCTCTCCCTTTAAAAGCGTATTATCTCCCTTAGTCTTAGGAGAGATGGATTTGAGGCAGCTTCTTCCATTCTCCTGGCAAGACGTCTGTCTTATTTTTAAAAATTCCTTTCTTCCTTGGCAATTCTTTTTTTTTTGAGACAGTCTCACTTTGTTGCCCAGCCTAGCTCACAGCAACCTCAATCTCTTGGGCTCAAGTGATCCTACTGCCTCAGCCTCCCAAGTAGCTGGGACTACAGGCATGCGCCACCATGCCCGGCTAATTTTTTTGTATATATATTTTTAGTTGGTCAATTAATTACTCTCTATTTTTAGTAGAGACGGGGTCTCACTCAGGCTGGTTTCGAACTCCTGACCTCAAGCAATCCGCCCACCTCGGCCTCCCAGAGTGCTAGAATTATAGGCGTGAGCCACCACACCCGGCCACCTTGGCAATTCTTGTTGTCTCAATAATTGGATCTTTGTGGGATGAGAAACTGGATCTAGACAAAACACTCCTTGTGGTTTCGACAACACCATGCCTGGCTAATTTAAGAGAATTGTTTTCTTAGAGAGGGGGTCTTGCTAGGCTGGTCTCAAGCTCCTGGGGAATTGTGAAAGTTGTCAGAATTAAAATGGACTCACTGGGGGTGTGGTGGGGGGATCCTGTCAAGCAAGGCTGGGAAAAGTCATGAAGGGAGAGTTCTCTATCATACATGTCTGATGATAAAAACGATCACAAAGGACTCTGCAAAAACTGCAACCTTGCACAAAGGCCATCAAAACCTTCAAAAAATACTTCTGCAAGGGCATCTGCCCAGTGACTGCCTGTCCAACCTTGGACTGGTATAATTTTTTATTGATCTTTGTAGCCAAGAGTAATTATTTCAAAACAATTATGTGATCATTCTTGTTTTTCCTTTAAAAACCTTTGTCTTCACTTACTTCCCTCAACACGCACATAGTTTATTATGGCATACGTATTCCCATCGCAAGACCTATACCTAAATATCATTTTGTTGGAGAGCCTCCCCTGTTTACTCAGGTTGACAGTCATCACCATTCCCTTTCACCTCTCCCCTTTGCTGCATCTCCGTAGCAAAACACCTGCCGCTGCCCACTCGAGCCTGCACGCAGGCAGGTAGGCGTGGCTGGAGAGTAACATCTTGATCCCCAAACTCAAGGGAGCCCAAAAGGGTCTCCAAAATGCAAGGACCCAGTCAACCTGCAGCCCCAACCAGGTCTTCCACAGGTCAGCTGTCACTAAAATGCTAAACGTCGACGGGTTTTCAGAAGACAGCGACGTGGATGTGGGTGCATGGGGAAGGGAGGCCGAAGCTCAGCCTAGAGCGGTGCGGAACGGGCCAGAGCGACAGTGGGGGTGAAGTGGCACCTGAGGGCCTCGGGGACCGCAGGAGTGAGAACCAAGCTCGACGGCGACAGAGGGAAACCGCTGAACTGCTGATGAACCCGGGACAGCGCGGTTAACGCGTCACTCTAGGCGCCCGCGGAGGGACCTTGCGGCGTCACGGGCGTCGGCGCTTCGCGCGTCACTCTTGGTGCCGGCGGCGGGACTTTATGACATCACGGACAACGGCGCTAACTGTGTCACTCTCTGCGCCGGCGCGGGGCTCTGGGCCGCAAGGCAAACCCTGTGCGGAAGGAGGACTTCGGCTTCCGAAGTCCAGGCCCTGCATTTCGCCGGCCGCCCGCTGTGTGCTGCACTCCTCACCGGAAGTCCCCGCGCCCGAGGGGCAGGGCGTGGCGTCCGCCCGCTGAGAGCTGGAGGCGGCCACACGGACGCCGCGCGCTACGTCGCCGTCGCTTCCGCGTCGCTGACTTCCGGCCGCCATCTTTCTCCCGTGGAGGCGCCGCGGCGGGGAAGGAGACGGAGCCGGAGCGTCGCGACGGAGCGGCCGCCGCCATGCCGTCGTCGCCGCTGCGGGTGGCGGTGGTGTGCTCGAGCAACCAGAACCGGAGCATGGAGGCGCACAACATTCTCAGGTAGTTGGGCTGGTCCGGGCGCGCCCGCTCCGTGCCCGGGCCAGACGGCCCCGCCAGAAGAGCCAGCGGCGGTTGCTCAGCGGCGGGGGACTGGAGCCGCGTCCCGGCGAGTGATGACGCCGAGGCAGGTCGAAGAGCGCGGGGCGGGAGAAGCCGGGAACCAGGCGAGGGTCTGCTTGTTAGGGGTAGCGGATTGCATTTGCGTTGTGTGTCGTTCATGTGACAGTTGTGGAAGTGCAGACAACGGAGGATGAGGACTCTCTGATAACCGACGTGGTCTATGTTGTTGACGCTGTGAGTTTGTGTTTGCTGCTGTGTTGTTTCAAGCCTATAGAAAAAAATCCCCTTTTCCATCTTGAACTCCGAGTCGGTAGTGTCTGAAATACAACTGGATTCGGTTTGGCTCTGCCTAGTGTATATTTAGGTACTAACTTACCTTTTGTGACTCTTGTATCCTATGTGTTTAATAAAAGTGTATTCCTGTTTGATCCAGTTTTTCGTTCATAGTCACTTAACGAAATGACCATATGAGAAATGACCATATGAGTTACAATTTGGTACATGTGTGAACATTGATAGTAAAACAAAGTTGAAACAGCTTTTTCTTCAGAAGTTATAGTGTGTGAACTTGAAAAGAAAAACATTATCTTGCTTCTTTTGTTGTCACTATCTAATTTTAACTCTCTTGAGTAACTTCAGAAAATTAGAAGTCCCTCTCACTATTTAATGAAGCCGGAAGTGTCAAGTGTCCATGATCTGCTAATTCTGTGTTTTTTTCAGTCTCACTCTGTTGCCCAGGCTAGAGTCAGCCTTGCTCACAGCAACCTCAAACTCTTGGGCTCAAGCAATCCTCTGGCCTAAGCCTCCTGAGTAGCTGGGACTACAGGCATGCTCCACCATGCCCGGCTAATTTTTTTTTTTTTTTAAACAGAGTCTCACTTTGTTGCCCAGGCTAGAGTGAGTGCCATGGCATCAGCCTAGCTCACAGCAACCTCAAACTCCTGGGCTCAGGCAATCCTCCGCCCTCAGTAGCTGGGACCACAGGCATACGCCACCATGCATGCCGGCTAATTTTCATATTATATATTAGTTGGCCAATTAATTTTCTTCTATTTATAGTAGAGACGGGGTCTTGCTCTTGCTCAGGCTGGTTTCGAACTCCTGACCTCGAGCAATCCACCAGCCTCGGCCTCCCAGGATGCTAGGATTACAGGCTTGAGCCACGGTGCCCAGCCCTGAAGATTGTTTTTAAAGTAGAAATGTACTAGAATTACATTGTGCTGCATCTTCCTTTATAAAGTGCACTTACTGGCGTGGTGGCTCATTCCTGTAATCCTAGCATTCTGGGAGGATCGCTTGAGCTCAGGAGTTGGAGACCAGCCTGAGCAAGAGCGAGACCCGGTCTCTACTAAAATAGAAAGAAATTAGCTGGACAACTAAAACAATATACAGATACACACACACATGCGTGTGTGTGTATGTGTATATAAAATTAGCTGGGCATGGTGGCACATGCCTGTAGTCCCAGCTACTCTGGAGGCTGAGGCAGGAAGATCGCTTGAGCCCAGGAGTTTGAGGTTGCTCTGAGCTAGGCTGACGCCACAGTACTTGCCGAGGCAACAGAGTGAGATTCTATCTCAAAAAGTTAAAAAAAGTGCACTTATCTTTTAAGTGTATTTTTAAAAGTTTGATAAATTTAAGCAAAAAAAAATGCAAGGTTCACACCTCTGGAAACCACCCAAGGAAAATAAAATTGTGATCTTCCATGGAATAACAGGGTCTGGAGACCTCCTTTGTTCTGGTGTTTGTGGCTGGTAATCCTTTGTTTGATCTCTTTTGTTGTATTTGCATAACAAATGGGTTGAACTCTTAGAAAAGGAAATGTTGAAATCTGATTAAGTGGCTGTTTTAAAGTCATGCTAATCTGTTATTTTCTTGAGACAATTATTGAAGATTACAAGCCTGTGTTTTAGTTCTAAGCAGCCTGGACAGGCACTACATTGGTCTCCAGTGGGAAAGAAGGAGTACAGAAGAGACCCTCATTATTGCCAATTGAGAATAAATTCTTAGGGGTACTTGATTCCTGTTTTGGCATTTTTCAGGTTTACTCATAAAAAGAGTAGGTTCAGAATGGAGGGAAGTAAGTTTAGATGGCGTCCATTATGGATAATGGGGGTGTGAAGTTATTTCAGACATGGATCTTTGGCTTCTGAAAGTTTTATATTTGGAGTATTTGAAGAATGTTTTCTTTTGTTAAAGTAGCTTATTTTAATGGTAATAGTTGCTTGTTGCAAAAATTCTCACCGTAGAACACATGAAGCAAATGAGGAAAGATCACTCAGCACCATTTTGGTGCACATTTTTCAGAGTGTCTTTCTATGTGTACATGTGGTCACAAGAGAAAAGAGGTGTCATTCTGTAACATCTGTTTATATTGTCACCATCATTGGCTTTCAATATTTTATTAATTTCTTCTTTTCTGTTTCCTTTTGGTTTTTGTTTTTAGACAAGGTCTTGCTCTGTTGCCCAGGCTGGAGTGCAGTGGTGCCATCACGCCTCACCGCAGCCTCAAACTCCTGTGCTCCAGCGATCCACCTACCTCAGCCTCCTGAGTAGCTGGGACTACAGGCAGGCACCACCACATTCAGCTGATTTTTTTCAATTTTTTTTTTTTTTTTGTAGAGATAGGGTCTCTCACTCTGCCTGGTTTCAAACTCCTGGCCTTAAGCAATCCTCCCACCTTGGCTCCCAAAGTGGTAGGATTAGAGGTGTGAGCACCCAAGCCAGGCCATGGCCATTATTTTAATCTCTTCCGGCTGTTAGGGCAAAAAAAATGATCTCACTCTTGCATTAGTTTTACGATTATTACTGAGATTGCATGACATTTCATATATTGTCCTTTTCACTTTTGAAATTTTACCTATTTATGTGCTGTGTATTTTCTGTTGGAATTATTCACAAGGTTTTAAAACATATTTAGGAAAGTTACATGATAGTTCTGTTACAAGCTAGGAGAGCTTATAAAAGTCAGATTTAGAGACTGCTAAGGCTTAAGTATAGAAAATATTTATAAGTAGGCTCTGCATGGTGGCTCAAGCCTCTAAATCGTACCACTTTGGGAAGTGGAGACTGGAGGATTGCTTGAGGCCAGGAGTTGGAGACCAGCCTGAGCAAGAATGAGACGCCCGTCTCTACTAAAAGTAGAAAAATTAGCTGGGTCTGGTGGTGCCTGTAATCCCAGCTATTGGGGAGGCTGAGACAGGAGAATCGCTTTAGCCCAGGTCTTTGAAGACAGAGTCTCACTCTGTCCCCTAGGCACTCTAGCCCAGGTGACAGTGAGAATCCATCTTAAAAAAAAGGGAGAGACACACCAGCCTATACAACATAAGGAGATCCCTGTTGCTACCAAAAAAAAAATAAATAAATAAGAAAGAAAAAGCCAGGTGTTGTGTGCTCCTACAGTCCCAGCTGCTCAGGAGGCTGAGGCAGGAGGATTGCTGGAGCCCAGGAGTTTGAGGCTGCAGTGAGCGATGATGACACCACTGCATTCCAGCCTGGGTGACAAAGTGAGGCTCTGTCTCAAAAAGGCATCTGATGTCATCTTTACAGCTCCCTCAGGATAGCCACAGTGAAGGGAGAATACCCAAGGGGGGAAGCCAGGGCTGGTGAGTGACAGAATTCGGGTCCAAGGTACTCTGGCCGTGGTAGGTGAGCAACAGTACTAAGGCTCAGAGCAGAGAATATCATGAACTGAAGAAGGATCCAGAGTGTGGGAGACACGGTGGAGTCCTCGGTTCGTGGGGCTTTGGGGCTCTGTCACAGCGGAGGTGCTGCACGGGAGTCGGATGGCAGTGGTGCCTTTGCCATCGGAAGAAGGATGAACTCAGCACCAGATGGTCTTCTTGTGGTTAGAAACCTCTTGGTTTTGTTCTTTTTTTCTTTCTTTTTCTTTTTTTTTTTGCATTTTGTTTCATTCTTGGCCTTAGTAGTGACTTAAAGGTAAAAGAACTATTATGAATATGTTTTGAGGCTCACTCTGCTAGCTATGGCAGATAAATTTGTTGGGGACATTCACAGAGTTTTTGTAATGTCTCCCGTCTTGCATTTACATGGCGACAGCCCGAGAGCAGTTATTGGGGTTCTGTGCTCCGAGGTCATCAGGGAGCTAGAAGTCTGGCTGCTAAGCCAACTCTGATTTTACCTTTAGTCAAGGTGACTTAGGGTTTTGAGTGCTTCCTGCTTGGAGACTGGACGTATTTTCCTTAGCTGAACAACAGGTCCAGAATTTGAGTCTTAGTGAAAATCATTTTAAAAGTTTCAGTTAGGCCAGGCGCGGTGGCTCGCGCCCCTGTAATTCTAGCACTCTGGGAGGCCGAGGCTGGTGGATTGCTCGAGATCAGGAGTTCGAAACCAGCCTGAGCAAGAGCGAGACCCCGTCTCTACTATAAATAGAAAGAAATTAATTGGCCAACTAATATATATAGAAAAAATTAGCTGGGCATGGTGGTGCATGCCTGTAGTCCCAACTACTTGGGAGGCTGAGGCAGTAGGATTGCTTGAGCCCAGGAGTCTGAGGTTGCTGTGAGCTAGGCTGACGCCACGGCACTCACTCTAGCCTGGGCAACAAAGTGAGACTCTGTTTAAAAAAAAAAAAAAGTTTCAGTTAATGGCTGTATTATAGAACATTAGAAGATAGAAATAATATAACTCTTGCTGTTAATTTGGATGTTTTTTCATGATCATTTTTCGTGTTCATTTTAACATTATCATTTTACTTTTAGCCATTGGGATAACAATTGAAATAATTTCATTTCCCAAAATTTAACATTCTCTGTGATAGCTTCTTTATGATAGATATTTTTGATACTTGTAAAGAAATTCATTTGATAACTCAAATACTTGTCTGGAATACTGGTTTACAAAGCCAGTGGCACTTCAGACTGCCTGTCGGTGTCACGAGTGTTGTCACAGCATTTGCTGCACAAGAGGGCTGCTGTGTCAGTTGCATCAGCTTAAAAGAAACTTCTGTTGCTAATTAGCCTTTTTGCCACTATGAACATTTTGTTGAACAGGGAGAAAAATTGCCTTTCATTTTATTTTAAAATATACTTGCTTGAAAGTAACATTTCAGGCAAAGTGAGGTGGCTCAGCCTGTGATTGTAACACCTGAGAGGCCCAGGTGGGAGGATTGCTTGAGCTCAGGATTTGAGACCAGGTGGAGCAAGAGCAGGCCCCTGACCCTGTCTCTACTAAACATAGAAAAATTAGCTGGATGTCGTGACACCTGTCTGTAGTCCCAGCTGCTTGGGAGGCTGAGGTCAGAGAATTGCTGGAGCCCAGGAGTTTGAGGTTGTAGTGAGCTATGATGATGGCATTGCAACATCCCCCCCCCCAAAAAAAAAAAAAAACCAAAAAACCAGAGAACTGGAGTCTTGGGGGGAGGCTTTGCCTCAGCTGCCTCAGTTTCCTTAGGAATGGGATCTGTATCACTACATTACACAGGGGGATGGGGGTGGCCACAGCAGCATGGTTCAGAGGGGCATCCCCTTGAGGGTGTGCAGAGTGCATGGCCTTATGGACAGGCATTGGAGTCACTGGACAGCAACAGGCTTTTGCCTGTTTGCATTTGTAAGAAGGAACCATGTGGGTCCTAGGGTCACACACCCCTCACCCCCTCACCCCTGCTCTCCAGGCCGTGTGCGGCTGGGTTGGACGGGGTGCCCTGCACCTTTCTGGCCAAATGTGTGGCTCAGACTGTGATTATAGACAGCTGTCAGGATTTGGGCATTACAAATGTGTTACTAATGTTAATACTCTCGGCAGCAGATTGTTCAGGTAGCTGTTTTACATTCTAATTTTTTTTTTTTACAGGAAAAAGATGTGCTTAGTTTTAAAAGTATTTCAGGAATAGCTCCAACACCTCCCCATACGTCCTCCTTGCTGACAAACATTCCTGACCCTTGTGTGCAAGGGACCCTCACCATGAGACTGGCTGGCTATGGGCATCTCTCATGTGCCCTGGTGCCACAAGGACAGTGGATTGGGATTACTGGCTCTGGGCTCCTTCTCGGAACAGAGAGGCCTGTGCTGAGCGTGCATGGAAGGTGGCGGCACAAGCAGTCTGTGGACTGGGTTCCCAGGGTGGCGTGGGATGGGGGTGCACAGGCTGTGCTGCTCCAGGGCCCCTCTCTGGGCCTAGAGTGACGGTGGCCTCTTCATCACTGGTGTGTCAGAGAATCCTAGTGAACCCCTTGTTGAAACGTGGGAATGTATGGATGCTCTATTGGTTCTTTTTCCTGCAGGGCAGACTTCTGCTGCTGGACACACAGGCATGTGTCGTAGGCTGTTTTATACAGATCCATCCCCTGCAGCCCACCAGAGGGGCCAAACTAAACTGGGGCAAGAAGTCCTTTCTCAGACCTGCCATCCTCTGGGCAACCTTTAAGCTGGTGGCAAAATAGGAGGTGGATTGTGGCCTGGAGGAGCATGGCCTTCAGGGCCTGCGTTTGCGGGGAAGGTGGCTGGGAGCTCGCAGGAGAGCAGCTCTTTCTGGGCAGTTCTGTAGAGTTATGAATTGTTAAGCAGATGAAAGACCTTCGCCCACCCCTCTGTGTGGTCCATGCATGTGACCTCCACGGGGCAGGTGCTAAACACCTGTCAAAGCTACATGAAAGGTGGTGTCCTTGGTGTATGATGACCTTGATCACTGATTTGTTTATGTTTTGATGGAAAATGTTTGTTTTATTGTACTTTACGGTGCGGAAATAATTTTAAATTTAGGGTGAAAAGTGTCTGATCGGTCGGGCGTGGTGCCTCATGCCTCTAATCCTAGCACTCTGGGAGGCCAAGGTGGGCGGATTGCTCAAGGTCAGGAGTTCAAGACCAGCCTGAGCAAGAGTGAGACTCCATCTGTACTAAAAATAGAAAGAAATCAGTTGGCCAACTAAAAATATATAGAAAAAATTAGCTGGGCATGGTGGCGCATGCCTGTAGTCCCAGCTACTTGGGAGGCTGAGGCAGGAGGATCACTTGAGCCCAGGAGTTTGAGGTTGCTGTGAGCGAGGCTGATGCCACAGCACTCTAGCCCAGAAAACAGAGTGAGACTCTGACTCAAAAAAGAAAAGCGTCTGCTTGTACCTTCTCTGGTGTGCTGCTTGTCACGTGCCCTGTGCTGGGCCGGTGTCATTCTCCAAGTCCAGTAGCAGTTATTTTCTTGCTTTCTAGCCTTGAGTGTCATTGGGATCTGTAGATAGGACTGAATGTTGGATATTTTATTTGAAATTTTGCAGGTTTATTTCCAGTTCAGGTGTATGTGGTCTTGGCATTTTAATTGTGAATCTCTGCTGCTCTACCGTGTTCTTCACTGGGTGTGATGGGCGTTCTTGGAAGCCTAGTTATGTTGTTTGGTACCTCTGGGATGTGGGGGCAGACTCAATTGTTAGCCTTAGAGGACTCCGGTGAGGTGTTTCACTTAAACTGGACAGATAAGGACCACTTTGTAACTGTGTGCATGTGTGGTTTGGGGGCAGGCGACTCGTGGTGTCGTGTTCTTCAGGCTCTCCTCTGAGGGACAGCCCCTCTGGGTCACCCTCTAGTAACTCCTGAAGAATCCGCCTGTGGACTCGCACAAAGGACCCTGCTCTGTGAGTGGACAGTCAGGTGGCTTCTGTCCTTTGTGGTCACAGCAGTCCTGCTGTGCAGCCGTCTTGTGGGTGCTGTGTCCCGTGTGTGTTTGGGGTGTTTCAGCACACCTGGCCTCTGCATGCCAGTGGCAGCCCCACATCTGACACAAAACTGTTTCCAGACATTGCCAGATATCCCGAGTTAGTTAAAAAATACAGAAAAGCTTTACAAGATGGCACTTTTCTTAATAGTCTGGTGTGTGAGAAGAGTGGAGGTGGAAGGGAATGGGTGAGCTCCCCAAGCCCCGTGTCAGGGAGGCTCCTTCCGATGCAGAAATGTTGTGATTTATAAATATAAAGCTGGAATGAGAACCCCATTTTATTTAGATACTTTCGAGACTTAAAAATTTTACTCTTGTCAACTGAATTTAAAAACACAGAAGTTCTGTACCTAACTCTTTTTCACGTGTGACCTGTTTTGACACACTTAAAAGCCGAGTCTTCTGATCTTACAAGTCTGGTGTCTGCTTTGCAGCAGCCATTCTTTCTTCCCTGTGGACGGTAGCACGTTGGGTCGCATGTCACGGTTCCAGTCCGCCTAGGCTGCTGTTCCCTGTGGTCGGCCTGGGCCACCTGGGAGCAGGCTGCCAGGCTCTGCGGGTCTCTTAGGAATCCTGTGTGCCTGAGTGCTCAGGAATGCAGGACCTGCGCCACACAGTGACCTGTTCTGTCTGCCCCGGTTCTGCGTGCTGATCAGTCCTTCCGAGTTTAGAGCAGCAGCTTCAAACAGCTGCTTAAACAGTTCAGATACAGCCTTGTGACAGTCGGTTCCATTTCGATTGGTTTCACATAGCTTTTATGTAACTTGCTTCAGAATTTTAAGAAAAATTCTAATAAAATATTAGCTAAAAATATTTAAAAACACGTTCTCTAAGTCATTAAAATTACTCAATTTGTCCATTTCCCGTTTCATGTCCCTTATTTTTCAAATTCTGTGTCTTACTTAATCTAACTGTGATTCTTTTTCTTCTTTTGTGTCTTCCAGCAAACGAGGGTTCAGTGTCCGGTCCTTTGGAACAGGGACTCACGTGAAGCTTCCAGGACCAGCACCCGACAAGCCGAATGTCTATGATTTCAAAACCACATACGACCAGATGTACAATGACCTTCTCAGGAAGGACAAGGAACTGTATCCCAGTGGCTGCCCTTCAGCCCGTGCGGTCGTCTCGGGCAGGCGTGATTGGTGACGTGTGCGTCACTCTGACCCCCACTCCGTAAGGAGCGTTCCGTGTGACTGGGGCATAGGAGGCGTGGTGTGCCACGTCACCTTGTGTGTGGTGCAGACACCTCCTTCTTTTTATTTAAGAGAACTTGGTTTCTGTTCGTGGTGCTCATTGGGTAGTGCAAGGGTTAGAGCCATCCATGGCACGGGGAACGTAAGGCACACAGACAAACATGCGAAGTCCACACTGACACAGTCCAGCATAGGTTCTGACGTAGCATCAGCCCAAGAAGCTTAGATGAGGAAAATGGAAACCACAAAATCCTCTTAACTTTTCACACTGCGGGGCTGCCCGGCTGTTTTCTCCGCAGGTAGGTGTGTATATGCGTGTGCTGATGCGTGTGGAGTCGAGCTGCTTCACACGCCTGATCTTCTTAAGAGAGTCAGAGAAAGTGGAGGCCAAGTTTGCTGCCGGAGCTGTTAGAAGCAGGTAATTTAAGAGAACATTACTTCATTTCAGGAAGAGACAAAACAGCCTGGATCTGCTACTTAAGACTCATGTGAAAAGAAAAGGTATTTTTAAAAATAGATTTTTATGAATGTGACCCCAAATTGTATGATCGTGTATCATCAGCGCCTCCGGTTTTTGATCAGGCATTTCATGATCTCACCACACCAGTTTAAAACTTCTGGACCTTCTTTTGTCATAGCAAGTGATCTGTAGTTCCCAGAATGAAGCCCAGATGTATTCCAGGTCAAAGGAATATCAGCACGAAATGGAAAAATTTTTGTCTTCATATTGGCACTCTTGCAATTTTTAATAAACTAAACATGTTTTTTGTACACATGTAGATTAAATAGCTATTGGGAAGGGCCTGAAAGTCCTCCTAGGAAAATGCAGAATTAGATCCTGGGTGTCACTGCGTCTCCTGCCCTCCCTGCTGTCCCCTCTGCCAGCTGCAGCTATAAGATTATGGGTTGGGATGTTGGCAGAATCCGGGGGTCCCCTGTCAGCACCACAGCCAGGCCTGCCGGTGGGGTGGGGTCTGTGGAGCCAGGCAGTGCCTGCGACGCAGCGGTCCTAGCTCTTGCCGCAGTTAGTGCCCGTCCCTCGGGTCTTGATGAGCACATCTGCTGCCCTTTCTTCTCAGCAGCCCTGGAGCCTGCATTTGACAAAACCTCCCTAAGCACTTCTGATGAACTGCCGGCCGCACCGCGTCCTCCGTGTTCTGTGTGGGGCGAAGCTCCGGCCTGCTCTGCTCACGTCCTTGGCTGAGGAGGAAGGTGGAGTGGTCTCGAAAGGCTCCCCTCCCTGGAACTCTGAGAGCTGCCTGTCCCGTCGCTTGCTGTGTCTTTGTCCCTGAGCCTCACTGAGACGTGTGACCACAAAGCCCCTTTCTCAGTGTCTCATTTGGGGGCTGTGTGCTTCCCTTAGCCCTAAAAAAGGCTGTGTTCTCACTTCTGGGTTTTCATTACGTACATACACTCTTTTATGCTATGAAGCTCATCCTCAGATCTGATCTATTTTTTAAAATTATTCTTTTTTTGGAGACAGTCTCAGTCTGTTGCCTGGGCTAGAGTGCCGTGGCGTTAGCCTAGCTCACAGCAGCCTCAAACTCCTGGGTTCAAGCAATCCTCCTGCCTCAGCCTCCCGAGTAGCTGGGACTACAGGCATGCATCACCATGCCCACCTAATTTTTTCTATATATATTTTAGTTGTCCAGCTAATTCTCTTTCTATTTTTAGTAGAGACAGGCTCTCGCTCTTGCTCAGGCTGATCTCAAACTCCTGAGCTCAAACTGTTCACCCACCTTGGCCTCCCAGAGTGCTAGCATTAGAGGAGTGAACCACCACACCCGGCCTAAAAATTATTCTTGAGTTGAGTTAGCACCATTCATTTTTAAACTCTTGTATTCAATGGGAGATATAAAAACAGAAAATAATGCACATGCTCATACTCCCTTAGTATAAATTAAGCTCTCTCATGTCAGAGCTCATGTGCCCTCCTGTTTCTGGACACTAGTAGCACTTCCCTTGTTTATAATTATAGGGACTGTATCTAGCTTCAGCAGTTAAGCTCGGAGGCACTTGGTAGTGGGGAGATGGTGTGCTTTTGAGATACCATGTTTCCCCGAAAATAAGATAGAGTCTTATATTTATTTTTCCTCAAGAAGACACCCTAGGGCTTATTTTCAGGGGATGTGTTATTTTCCCCTCAAAGCTTCAGTTTGCAGCACGTACAGGATGGCCGGGACCTGACGGGGAGCAGACCTCGTTAGTGGGGCTGTCCGCACCTTTCCAGTCACCTCTGGGATAGTAGCTGTCACGATGGGGCAGATGAGAAGAGCTGCTCGTCGTCGTCTTTACCGCTCCGCAACAAAATGCATGGGTTGTGCAGATGCGCTGCGTAGCCACGCCCATCACTAAGTCTTATTTTCAGGCTAGGGCTTATGTCGTGCAAATGCTTAGAAATCCTGCTAGGGCTTATTTTATGGGTAGGTCTTATTTTTGGGGAAACATGGTATCAGCTAGAGTACAGTGGCATCATCACAGCTCACTGCAACCTCAAACTCCTTAGCTCAAGTGATCCTCCTGCCTCAGCCTCCCGAGTAGCTGGGACTTCGGGTGCCACCACATCCAGCTAATTTTTCTTGTTTTTTTTGTAGAGACAGGGTCTCACTTTTCCTTAGGCTGGTCTTGAACTCCTGAGCTCAAACAGTCCTCCCGCCTTCCCCTCCCAGGGTGCTAGGATTACAGGCGTGAGCCGCCACGCCCAACCCAGCTGGTTCCCAAAGGAGCTGAGAGACCAGTGTCTTGGAATTCAGAATTTCCTTCTTTACAGGGTGACTTTGTACAAGTCAGTGGGATTTTCCTGTGAAGTATCCATTCTGTCGGGGTGAAAACTGTGTCGGCCTCCATGCATGGGGTGTGGAACTGTCAGCTGGGGTGTTGTCGCCACTTGGGTGGTGCTATGACATTTTAGCATGGACAGTACTTACCTGTAGGGGACCCTGTCTAGGGAGGTCCTCTCATTCAGGCTGCCCTTGACAGGGCTGTGGGAGGAGGGCCACCTTTGTCCCTAGCGTATATTGCTTGAGTGAGACCTCTGTCTTCTGTGTGGGTGTAGGGAGAGGGGTACAGTGAGGCGCTTGATGCTTAGCTGTGGTCTTCCAAGTACTGCCTTTGGCCAGCTAAGGAGGGATGTCTCTAGGGAGTTCTGCGGTCATTGGCACGTGCTGGGTGGGGCAGCATTCTGCCCCGCAGATGGGAACAGCAGACAGGAGAGAGGTAGGGTGGATCAGAGTGGACCAGCACTCCTTCACTCCCTGGGGGGCAGGTGCCCTGACACTGTGTAGAGGTGCCCTGAGGACAGGACTCCCTTAGTGGTGGGATGGGACCTTCAGGTCAGAGAGAAAGCTAAAAGCCCAAATCTGTGACAGAACAAGCCCTGTGTTTGCAGAAGTGATAGCTACTAACATCTGCAGTGGAAAGCTAGCAGGCCGTCTGAGGATGTAACTCAAAGATAAAATAGGACAGTTGGTAAAGCATTTAACCACTTCGGTACCAGTGTCAACTATAGTTGACAGCCACAGATGAACGCGCACATTGAACGCGTCATAGCCGACAGCCATAATATGACTTTTCTGATTTTTCATTTATCAAAATAAAATTGTCAACATTTAAAAATAATGTAATGAAAACATATGTATATGTTAACCTATACTGATTTACATTATAAGTAAAGCTGCCTGTAAAGTAAAACAAGCTTTCAGTGCTTTAAAGCTTTCCTCATCACACAAGAGCAAAACGGAGTTGTCGTCAGTGCACAGCACAAGCTATTGTGCTGACTGTGAGTGCCGGCTGTGGGCAAGGTTTCGTGGCCGGCGAGCGCGTTACCAAAGTGGTTAAATCTCAAGGAGCAGGGTGGTGCAACATGGCAGGAAAATGATGGGTTAGGTGGAGCCCAGGGCTGAGGGCAGCAGGGGCCAGCTCTCAGCCCTCCACATGCTGCCTGCCCAGGCCTCGGTCTCCTCCTGTGCACCCACCTCACAGAATTTCTGATAATTAAATTGATTAGGACATGCAGGTGCGGAGCATGGCACCTTGCGTTTTTGTTTTTGTTTTTGTTTTTTTGAGCCGTAGTCTCACTCTGTTGCCTGGGCTAGAGTGTGGTGGCATCAGCCTAGCTCACAGCAACCTCAAAGTCCTGGGCTCAAGCAATCCTCCTGCCTCAGCCTCCCCAGTAGGTGGGACTACAGGCATGCGCCACCATGCCTGGCTGATTTTTTCTATGTATTTTTAGTTGGCCAGTTAATTTCTTTGTATTTTTAGTAGAGACAGGGTCTCGCTCTTGCTCAGGCTGGTCTCAAACTCCTGAGTTCAAGCAGTCTGCCCGCCTTGGCCTCCCAGAGTGCTAGGATTACGGGTATGAGCTACCACGCCCGGCCCCTGTTTTTATTTTTAAAATTTATTAAATTTGATTTTATAGAGATGGGATAAGGGTGGTCTTAAGCAGTGTTCCCACCTTGGCCTCCCAAAGTGCTGGGGTTACAGGTGTGAGCCACCTCACCTGGCCTTATTTTTTTATTTATATGGGGTTTTTTTGATAATAGGTGTACACGATCACTACTCATTACAGCCTTGAGCTCCTATGCTTAAGTGATCCTCCTGCCTCATGAGTAGCTGAGACTACAGGTACCACCACCACACCTGGCTAGTTATTCTGTTTTTTGCAGATATAGGGTCTTGCTCTTGCTCAGGCTGGTCTCGAACTCTTGAGCTCAAGCGATCCTCCCACCTCAATCTCCTAGAATGCTGAGGTCACAGGCAACGGCCACCATGCCGGGCCCAGCACCTGTGTTTTAAAGTAGTTTTTGGAAATGGTGTTTTAACAGATGAACAGTTCCTAAGCCATATGCCAATTCCCAGAGAAACTGACCTAGTTTTAGTTATACTTCAGGTTTTTA